AATAATCAATTCATTTAATGAACATAAATGTACAATATACGAATGTTTAATGTTTGTTCTTTCAAATCTTAAAAAAAAATTGAAGCAACACTGCCACAGTTTTCACAATAACGTTTGCCTCGGTTTTTGGTTAACTGCCTACAGCGCTTACAGTGCTTTGATTTGATATTTCGATACGAAACGAAAATTCTATTAACATTAACAATATATTGCTATCAACAGAATGATCATACAGAGGCAACTTTACTAAACGTAAGGTGGATGAATTATATATATTTCCTCAGATAGATTTTCTTATGCATTGCCAAAATGAAGATTTTACGATGCTCTTTTCAAACATATAACAAGTATGGGTCATCGTGCTATTTTTCAAGCTACAAGTTGTGTAAAATTGCCCAAATTTGCATAGGTTATTCATGAAAAAAAAAACCACACTATTGTGCATTAAAAGAACTCTATGAGATGGAATTTTGAAATAATATATTCGAAGATAAGTTTTACTATATGCGTTCAGAAAATAAAAACAAAGAAATAGTGTCACCGAACTTATTTTCTTGCTAAGAGTACAAAATGAAAATTTCCCTATCATTCTAGTATAAATTTATCTCCCCTTAAAAGACTAAACTGAAAAAAATATTCAAAAAACACAAATACTTGGTATTTGTTTAAACATTTTAAATATTTCAATAAATCACAAATTTTTCTGTAAACAAATTAACAGTCTTACACATAAATTGCGAAATTGTCTTAAAATTTTCAGATTTTCACATCTGTCATCTAAATATTTTAAAACAGTACGTGTTACAAATTTGATGAAATTTAACAGATTTTGCTTTATTGTGCCTTAATATAATTGTTAACCGCCTAATTATATCTGAAACTAAAAGGCTCCTTAATTCAAGTTGATGGTTAAAAACTACAGCGAAGAAACTGTACTGACCATAGAGGAGGTATAGCTTCTTTCATGCGAGCTGACATACCAGCCTGAAGAAGATTTGACATTGAATGTAAGAATCTTGAAACATTGTTAATGAGAATATTCTTGATAAAACAAAAAGGTTTATTTATGGCATTTATCGTCCATCATAAATGGCGATTAATATATTTTATGACTCAATAAATAACATTTTAAATAAAGGTTCTAAATTTATAGAAAGTTATATGGTTATTGGTGATCTTAACTATGATTTTATGGTTAAAAACAAATCACATGTGTCGGCGGACATATGTGATATTTTTGATCTGTCAAAAATAGTAAAAAAAACCTACATGTTATATGAAAGGGTATGTACCATTACTTGTTGATGTCATTCTTACCATGGAATTATTATATTGACAGGAACTACTACGACCCGACTTCAAACGTTACGTCTGCGATGCCGCGCGAAATTTAATGACATGTTAATTAACTTGAAACATGGCACGTCATTTACACAACAGCGTGTGGCGCCCTACAATATTGTCATTCTCTGTTGCTTTCGCCATTACGGAAATAAACGAAGAAATCGAAAGTTGTGATAAATTGTAAGGAAACAGCAATCGGCAAACCTCGGCAGATTTCGTTACCCTACACCTGCCTATGTGTGCCGATTGATAGATTGATGGATTTGTGCGCGACATCATTAATTCTAGAAAAAAACATTGACGATGGAATTCGTACCATATTAATTGAATAAATACACTATGTTTATTGATTTATTTTTTGGTAGAAACTACACTATCTAAATATATATCACACGTTGTGATTCATTACTGATTGTTTAATTCCAGTGGCATACATTTCATGCATATTTAAGACGATTGTAAAATAATTGTTCTGATTAAAATAAAAAAAAATCAATGAGATTTTAAATAGATGTAAGAAATATAAGGCTTCGCTTTAATTACAGGGAAGATCATTAGTTGTTGGTATACGAATATTTCTGCTGAGCCCCAGTGTGTTCAAATTTATTTAAGTACTGAAGCTGTAAAGTAATATTTACTAGACAGTATCATTTGGACAGAAAATGATAAAATATTATATGGGACAGAGATGGTTTAGCCATTCCATAACATTTTCTATGTCTTCGTTTTTGTCTCAAATTGATAATGCGGGTCAAATCATAAGTCATGATTGGCACATTCATAAAATGTACAAATAGAAATACTGACACCGGCTGTATATTATCGGACAAAATTCGTTCAAATACGAATATTTTAGCAGTTTTGAATTTCACAAATGCCAAAAAATTTAATACGCACATATATACATATATAAATAACGAGGTGCGTCTTTTATTTACTATATTTGTTATATATAATGTCTGTGTTAGTTAGTCCTTGATCGATTAATTTTCACATTAAAAACTGAAAATTTCTACTTTCCAGGATAATCCAGGTCCTTTACTATATATATTAATCGATTCGTCACAGTGTATATTTATATCAGGAAAATTTTCGTGACTCGGCAGTAACCTGAACACACCCTTATGACAGTTTAAACTTACCCCCTGAAGAAATGTAATAATGTCACTTACAATTTTAAAACGTTGTAGCATAATAAATTCTGGGCCGATTTCCCTTTTTTATGCATCAGTCGTTTAAATAAGTTGTTTATGAATAAAGGTCAACCGATGCCATTAAAATGAGCAAAGGTATTTTCCGACAGGTATTGACGTTATCGTGTCTCGATAAAAACCACGTGATTGATAAGAAGTATCTCTGGTCAATTTATGACCGCGGCATCGCAGATAGTCACAAAAGAAATTAACGACAGCGTACTAATTAGACAGTTTCCATATCTTTTCTACAGTACTACCCGGGTTATAAATAAGTGTTAATCAATCGTTGTAGTTCCTGTCAATATAATACTTCCATGTTCTTACAAATAGAGCAACTTTTTTTTTCAAAACACTGAATTTTAACACTGGTGTTAGTGATTGTTATCATATGATCATCTACTTTTATAAAAGGTTATACACCTAATTGTGTTAACATCAAGACACAATGTAGAAGTTTTAAATCTTTTGATGTTGAAAAGAATACTGATGATATTAAAATTTTACACGATTCAGATGAATGTAAAGATGAAATAAACTTAGTATATAATGATTTTGAAAGTAAAGTCTCTGAGGTAATAAATTGCCATGCATCGATAAAGTACAGATATCCTCGAAAAAACACAATATCATACATGAACAGAGAACTGAGAAAAGCTATTTTTCACAAACAAATGTTGAGAACAAAATTTGAAAAATAAAAAACAAAACAACAAAACTTGGAAAGCATACAGAAAACAAAGAAATCTGGTAACTTGACCTAAAAATCTGTGAATATCTATTTTCAAGAAATATGTGCTGGAGCACAAAAATCAAAATATTTTTACAGTAAACAATTTCTCTCTAAAATGTCTACTTGCAGCCAACAAAAAAAACGTACTTGTGGAAGATAATAGAATTTTAAACAACACTAAAGATGTTTGTGACAACTTTAATACTTTACTTGTAAATGTTGCCAATCACATAGATAAAAATACCCCTTATTATTTTGAAAGTTAAAGCTAACATAAAGCATGATAAACTTTTTCATTTTAACATGTTGACACTGTAGGCAAACTGGTGAAAAAGATCAATATAGAAAAAGCTAAAGGAGTTGATCAGGTCACAGTATCATCTAAGCTATTGCAAGCTGGTGCACTATTGCTTAACAAAACATATAAGAACACTAATAAATAATACAACAGAATCAATTGAATTTCCAAACAGATTTAAAGATATCTAGTACTAGTATTGTACAAACAGATTTAATGAAGCTCAGGTCGTACCACTACACAAAAAAATAAACTGATCCACTTGATAAAATGAGCTACAGACCTGTGAACATTTTACCTACAATTTTAAAAGTATGTGAAATGGTTATATCTGACCAGTTAAGGTGTAATACCACCAAATCATAGTACGTCACATCCGGTTGCATAAGAAAAAGGTTCGAACAAAATATTCCCTTGAATTTGACAGTTGTAGGAAATGAATCCTACATTTCATTGTAGTAAATCATTTCTGTGTCATAGACATATATCTGGGGTGTTTCAAAGCACCATTGTTTTTTTATTTAGTGTTTCTATAGAATATTTTGGAAACTTGAAGTTACATGGTTACTAAAGCTTGTACACATGAAGAGAAAGGGTGAAAATTTGATTGGTTAGCTTCCCGTAATGGTTGTTTTCTTATATGCAATGAAACATTATGTGAAACTTTGTCTATAGTACAGGACAGGATAAAACTTTACTCATGCAAAGTATTTCTTTATTTCAAAACACAGATAAATCAATGATGGTATTACACCTTAACTGATTTTTTTGAAAATATATTTCATTCTTTTTTATGTGCATTTAGAAAAGGTCATTGATGTCAGACAACTTTGCTGAGACTCCTTGAAGATCTTATTTCTTTGCAGATGTACATTGAATTTTCATATGTTACTAAGCATGCTTATTTGTAAAAACTTAAATCCACTCAAAACGCGAAATGTATTTAAAGAATTAAAAAACTACATAATTCATCAATCATTTATTCAGAATACGGTCAATGTGCGGATTGATATTTCCTGTATTTTTTTCGTGCAAAAACATCTTATCTTCATCTTATTTATTGTTAGCGTTTACCAGGCCAAGATATGCATTTTCGACCCCCACCCCCCTAAAAATGGCGTCTCCTTATGTTTTATTTATTAATATGAAGAAAAGGAATCAGTCGACTATTCGTTTTTGAAAAGCCTTTTTGACTGTTTAGAAATAAGTGCCTGTGTTGACTGCTTGCAATGTTAAGTCATAGTCTATTGATCCTTAGTTCCCGCTAAATTAGAAAAACAAAACGTTACGTCTAGTTCATTTAAAATGTGAATCACAGCAAGTTAAACGCACAAATGATAAAACTTATAATTTCCACTTGAAAAAGTTTTTGACTTTTCCCGCGTATTATTTTATTTTCAGACAACTTCCGGTGTTTTATTTTACTTTCGTTTTGAACAGTTTGACGAATATTACTAAATGAGTAATGATGTTTTTACACCTGAGATTAGGTTGATTGCAAAATAAAACAAAATCATAAATCATAGGCAAATTGTCACACTGAAGATTACATGTATAAATGGTATAGGTAAGATTAATATGAAAATAACATTGTTCATAATAGATACGATAACGTAACTCTGATGACACGGATAGGAGTATAATTCGATCCTATTAATTACAATGGAGAAACATCCTGGCGATCTTTCTTCATAGTTGCCTTAGCTTCTATGAAAGGGAATACTTTTATATTTGGTCTGTAACTTGATCATGTTGAGTTTTAGTTTGTTAGCAATTTTTAGATCTAAAGCCCAAATTCTTCTTTCTGTTCGTTGACAGTTTGCAATTTTACAACACTCATTGTACATGGAAACTTTCCTCCATCTTTCTTGTCTTATATGGAAGCTGATCCTGATTCTAAGGTCCATATATATGTTGACACTACTGGTCTCTTTGTGTTTGCTTGTTTCATCTTGGTACTATAATTTCTCCAAGTAATGTCACACTGTCACATTGTACTTAGGTTAATTTGTTTCGGCGCAGGATTTGGATTCTTCAGGGCTAAGTATATCTTGAAATCGCCCTGAACTCTTTAAATATTCTCCTACTATCTCAGATCTATTGGGATGTTTTGTGTCTCCAGCTGTCTTTTCATTTCTTCTCTTTCCTGATGGTATCTCATACAATTGAGTAGGAAGTGTTCTGTACTTTCTTCTTCACCACATTCGCAGTATGGCGTGAGGGATTGGCCTATCTGATGGCGGTATTTATTTATTCTATTGTAGCCTGTTCTAAATTCTGAAATGATTCTCCCTATAACTGGAGTCGGATAATCAAGTAGATGGGCCTTAACAAGAATAGGAACTAATTCGTGTCATTGTCTTCCAGTTTCACTTCTAGTCCATCTATTTCGGCATTTAAGTTTTGTTGACATCTTAACTGCACTTCTCACATCTGACATAGTTATGACGTAGTACTGCTCATTTAGACTTGCGACCTCCTGTGCTGCATCTTTTTCTAACTGGTCCCCTATCTCGTTCCCGGCTATAATAGCATGGCCTAGGGTCAGAGATATGGTAGTTTGTATGCAGCCTCTCAGGAGGGTCCCAATGCTTTCTTTAATGTCTGTGATAGTGTCAGTGTAGTTACTTAGTAGTTGACCTCCAGTTGAGAGTCAAGATGCCAACAGCTATCTGGCTATTTAATAGAATCTTTACTTCAGTGAACTGTTCTCTAAGTGTGTAAAAGCAGTGTTCCAAAACCATAAGGATAGCTCCTAGTTCAGCTAAGAGTATTGAGCCTCTGTTAGATACTGGTCTTTTAAAGCTTATTGCTTGGTGGTTTTTAGTGTATATTACTGCTCCTGCTCCACATGGTCCTGGACTTCCCTGCCATGAGCCATCTGTGAATGCAATAGCTATTGAATCTGAGCTTTCTCCTATCAGTTCTTGTACAATTTGTTTGCTTTGGGCAGTTTGTTCTGCGGTTCTGTTTCTCGAGCTTCCCAGACGGCTCCAGTAGCTTGGTGCTCTCATCAGCATAAAATCTGCTCCTGGCTTGTAGGTAAACTCTGGCTCTAGAAGTTTGATATCTACTTTTGTTGCTTTTAGCATGTCGATGGCTTGATTTATAGCCTTACCAAATGTAGATTCCCGTCGTTCATATGTATCATTGTTGGTATTAGATACTCCTCCATCTGTTGTTTAATTGGTTCGGCTATGTTTTTTATTGGATTTTTGCTATTTCTCGGACTGAGATTTCTTCCATTCGGAGGTCGATTGGTTGTATATTGGCCTCTACTTCTATAGCTTCTCTACCTGCTGTTCCTGATAATCCAAGGCAAACTGATAATCCTTTCCTTTGTTTAGCTTCCAGTTTTTTTCGTATATTCCATTGATGTTATCTGCCAAACTGGGCACGCATATTCAATGATAGATCTTACCATGCTGTAATAGATTTGAAGTAGTTTTGTTCTTGAGATTTTTCTTATGCCCTTTATTTCTCGTCTAACATTTAATACATTGTTTGCTCTCTTCTGCACTGTATCTGTGTGCATTTCAAATTAGATTGTTTCATCCAACGTTACGCCAAGTAGTTTGGGTGTAGGACTGTATTTGAAATTGAATGAGTTGACAGTCAGAGTTTTTTTGTGTTATATCTAGATCTTCTATAGAGAAAAGACATAATTCACATTTTCTCATGTTGACATTGATTCTCCTTTGTTCAGTCCATTTTAAGACTGTGTTAACGTCTCTTAATGTTTTTTTCTTTTTGTTCTTTGACGTCTTGTCCCTTGTGCCACAATGTGCCATCGTCAGCAAATTTGCAGTGTTGTCCTGTGGTGTTTTCCATAATGTCTGCTATAAAGATGTTGGAGAGGGTAGGTGATAGAAATGACCCTTGTGGTAAGATAATTTTTGTTTCGAATTGATTCCCAAACAAATTGTTCAACATGGATCTGGCTGTTCTATTAGTGAGGAAGCTATTTATCCATATCCATATTTTTCCTTTTATACCTAATTTATGCATTTTAACCATCCATACCTCACGCCATATTGAATCATATGCCTTTTCCAAATCTACTTGCCAAACCAAAACTGATTCATTCCTATTCAGAGCATCAACTATTATTTGAACCAGTCTAAGAAGGGCATTTGTTGTTGAATGACTTTTCTGAACCCTTCTTATTTTAAGTCAATCAGTCATTGTCCTTCAATATATGCAACAATTCGTTCTAATATTATTCTTTCCTCTTTCCATTTATTTACATTTACAAACCTGCTCGTGCATTTTTCATTGTTATTCAACCGCAAAATAATTATCTAAGATACCTGGGACGATCTCATTTCACAAAGGATTTCTATTGTCTACTAATTGTACCTCGAACTTAAATACCCGGTGTAGGTCTTTAAGTTGAGGTTTAATTTACTAAAAGTTAATCGAGCATGACTAATTAGATACGCCCTCTTAAAATCAAGGGGTCCGAAATAGGATCGGGAAATAACACCCAGCAAAATATCCTACTTTACAATTTTAGAAATTTTTTGATTCAAAGTGCTTTTGGTTGCTTTAATATCTCCATTCAATAATCAATCGGTGGAAATACTAACCTGTCCCGAACCGAGAGATGTTGGCTGCAATAGGAATTTATTTTATTTTAAATAAAAAAGTCCATATCTAATTTACTTATAGTGGCCGTTATTGTTTGTAAATTCATGACGTTCTGTTTTTTGGCATTCGTCTACCGTGGAGAAAAATGAGGGAAGGAGGGCTAATTTGATTTTGATTTTTGGTGTTTTAACTCCACTTTTAAGCACCGCTTTTGGGCTATTTCGTGGCGGCCAGTTTTTATTGGTGGAGGAAGTCGGAGTGCCCGGAGAAAACCACCGACCTTCGATAGGAAAACTGACAATCCTCGTCAATTAAGATTGGAGTCGAGTGCACCCGCACGAGCGGGGTTCGAACTCACAACCTCAGTGTTGACTGGCTAGTGATAACAGTAGTAACTACTTAGACCACTCGGCCACCGAGGCCCCCAGGAGGGCTAATAGCTTAGCTTATGACTTCGATCATGATTCAACTGTATTCTATTACGGCATACGTTTTACTTCTAGCGAACGCTCTGCCTTATTGTAAAAAGTGCCACTTTAAAATTGTAATCATTTGCCTCAGGTTGATCCACTTTGCATCTCGTCGTAAATATGCATTACATATTTGCCACTGGACATAAAAGGAGCAATTAATTAATCAGTTTAATTTAGTGACGTATAATCATTTGGTTTCAGTAAATAATCGTCACCCTTGTGGGGAATACCAATATTGTCACTTGGTCTTTTTCCGACCGGCAGTAAAACGCTTGCCAAAGTGGGGCGTCCGTTTGGCTGTGCGGGATGTATCAAGTTTGCAGCCACGTCCGGTCAGATTGGGGACGTTAAATCCGATACCTCGTGTACAGAAAGTGCCACGCTCTTTGCACGTTAAGAACCTTTGTAACAACTCTTTGAGGGGTCCGTAGGTGGCCTGTTGCAAGGCAAAATTTCTGTCCCTATCCAATATATCCTCATTGTCCAGTGGCAGTCCAAATTTCCCCGACCATCATCCCAGATGGCCTCTATTATTACAAAACCTACCTATTGTATTAATTGTTAACTTGTTTTCGTCCTGAACATTCATGAAATATTTGCCACTGGATGTTAAGCAACCAACAATCAATAAATCAATAAATAATCGTCTCAAACAGTTTTCCAATTTTTATATTTCATATTTATCTAAGTATGAATTTTTAAGAGTAAATCTTTCTTCCATCATTTTTCTCTTTGCATTTAATCTTTTTTTTAACAATACAAAAACGTTGTCGTGGTACACATCAGGGGTTACATTGTATCCTTTAGCAAAACTAATAGGAGAGGGGATAAGAACAGAAAAACGATCTTCATTGAGTGCCAATAACTCATATATTGGAGCGAACAATGACGGCTGTCTCGTCTACGTATCACCATTTGCTGTTTCAAGTTTATTTATATCTCAGACTGGTATAATAGTTGCCATAAAAGCAAAAATGGATAAACAAATGTTGACAACAATTTTTCAAGGATTCAACTTATTTTGGGCGTTTCATTTATTTATTTTTTAGATATTGTTTTGCTAATCGGTTTCGTTATATTTTTTTTTTTCATCTACAATTGTCCTAGCAAATATCGCAAAAATGTGTTAAAATCAGCCATGCAACTTATTTGAAAAGATTTAGCTGACCTTTCTTGTTGATATTACACATTTCGATCATTCAACTCGTGCATAGATCGTTTTTCCCCCTAATGTTTTTTTAACGTATAGATGGCGTGAAATTCTCACTACACCAGGAATCTGATATACATTCCTATTTCGATGGGACAAAACTGCGTATTTATATATCCGATAAGCCAAACGAACGCACCCATTTAGTAAGGGTATACTGTGGGACGGGAGAGGTCTCGAGATGTCAATATTTGTATACCCAAGTGAATCATTTGATTTTGAATAAAAGGTGATAAAGATATACTGTACATTAATGTGAGAGCAACACAAATACACAGGCATGTCAAAACATTTATAGTCAACTTTCAGTCTTTTTTTATAGAAAGATCCGTATACAGAAAAATAATCAGTGAAAACCGCCTAATGACTTAATAATAGTTATACGGAGTTAATCAATAATAATTACCGTCAAATATTATATACCCAAAAGTCACGTTTGATTTAATACTATTTACCGTCAAAGATATCCCAACAATCACTAGTCTCTGGTTGAACAATTTCACCTGCCCTATTTTAATTTTGATCGGTGAAAATTTAAGAAGTTGTAATATAAACCAGTAGAAGAAAAACACTTCACTGTGTAATAAAACGGTAAAATAAATGATGATAATGGATGACGACCAGCGGCAAATAAAAAGAATATTCAGGACGATAACATGTAAATACAATACGAATATTAACCCCGCTTTTTACTAGACTGACACGCTGAGTCGGTGTTTTTATACGTAAGTTCCCAAGATATTAGTTCGCAGGAAAAAATGTCACCCGAGCCGGACACATTTCCGACTCTGAGCCGACCAGTCTGTGCTCCTACTCTATGATGTCACGTTTTAAGCGCCAAGTAATAGCCAATACTAATTTAACGTCTTTGTTTGGCCCGGTCGGGATTCGAACAAACGACCTCCCGCTCTCGAGGGGAACACCTTCACATGAGACCTACCAGTAGAGCGGAAGTACATAATATACCAAAACCTCAAGTATAATAAACAATACAGTTTCACAGACTTCTCACAGTTACTAAAGCGGAGCTAAAAGTATCTAACCTAAATTAAATGCGTGAAATGATATTGTAAACTACACGTAAACATCGATGATCGACTTTAGTGTAGATTTCATGGATCAACGCTCTCGGCAAATTAAAAACTCTTGCACAAATTATTTGGGTGGTCCGAATGTGGCCAGCTGTTGCAAGTCTAAATTTCTGTCCTAATTCAATATACCCTCATTTTCCAGTGGTATTTTAAAGTTTCACGTCCAACCTCACTGTCGACCTCCTATTGCACGACTTCATGTGTTATAGTCATGAACATGCATGAAATATTTGCCACTGGACGTAAAGCAAACACCAATCAATCAACTTCATAAATTGTTCCATGTACTTAGCACTCAAAGACAAGATCTTGTAAATTGCTATGAAGTACTATTTCTTTTAAATTTTTATAGTTTTTTTTGTGGTTTTTTTTTTCCTTCAATTTATTACATAAGTGACTGCTTATAAAAAGGTTTTAATATTTTTTTACTATGGTTCTTATCTACTGTTTTAATACCATTTATAACATGGTGTTTTGTCAGGAAAGGATGAAACTAAGAAAGGTAAAAGTTTTTTTTTTCAGGTGTTTTGCTTCAGTTGGACATGAAATTAAAATAACGGACGACTAAAATAAAAGAGTTTGTTTTCATATAATACATCGAACCTACGAATATATGTCACCTAAACACGTTTTAATCGGGTCAGTGAAACCTAGTTGATGCTATAGATGTCACATTTATGCTTTTTAATACGATTTTATTCATTGAAGTTTGCATGCATAGTTTTTATTTTTAAAAAAACCAAAGCAAGATCTATTAATTAATTGGACTGAACAGACAACACTTATTATTTTGAATTCGCATGTAACGTAGTGTAGGAAAATTACAGAATCAAAAAGGAATGAACATTTACCGGATGAATATTGTGAAGGACCTTATGCATCTAGGTCTGTTCGATTAAAAGTTCTGAAACAAGCTGTTAAAAAAGCTAATTGATGGAAGAATTTACTTACTGTTTTCTTAGGTCTGGTCTGTTTCATGATTACTGACAGATTAAAAACATCATATATATATATAACAAAAAGTTGTTTTGCAGAATATTCATCGGTCAGTTATAAATGAGGTATGTATATGGTTTTGAATGCCTCATTTATTAAATAAGAAATCGTTATTTTGAAAAATTGGATCAAAAATATAAATTTACCCCCTAATTTTGTTAAACTATCATTTGGTATTATTTTAATGCTAAACAAAATATAATAATTGAATGATGTACTGCCATTTAATCGGTCCGTTTCCGTTGCAATTTGGTAACTGTTAATTGTATATCAGTCTGAGTACTGTTTAACTATCATTTAAGGTAAACATATTAAGACTCGTCCAATTCAGGGGAATTAGGTTTCTGCGAGTGCTTTTTGTGTACTTTTCTTATGTTTTTGACGGTTTGTAAGTCAGTAAAAGTTCAATGATTAAGTAAATATTGACATTAAAAGACCTCCTCACAAAAAGGGCTGTTCAAATCCCCTCGCCCTTCGGGCTCGGGAATCTGATCATCCCTTTTTTTTCGGAGGTCTTTTAATATCAATATTAATTTATCATTGAACTTTTACTATTACATAATGCATGTAAGACTAATTGGTCTGTAGGAAGAGGTGGAGTAGTAGCTTGTTTTTCTAGGCTATCTAAGGAACTTTACATCTGCATTTTTCCACTCTGCTGGAATTTCACCTTTTTCCCATATGATATAAATCATAACCACCATAGCCTCTATGAAATTTTAACCTGCATTTTTGAAGAATTCGGCAAATTGTTGGTCTGGCCCTGGAGCTGTCCCAGTCGAGCCTCTACTCCTTCTTTATTGATTTCTCTGTCGGGCCCTCTCTTTCCTGCTTTAATCTGATTTCTTCTTTGTACTGGTTATTTATGTTGATATACTCTTTGTTAATTTCTTCAAAAAAGTCGTTATCAAAGGAGTCGGCACTAAGATGACTGCCTCAAAAATACCTTCAGCAGGATTTCTACTTTGCCCTGATTATCGAAGATTGGATCTTGGTTTTCAGCTATCGGTGTTTATACTGAATTATCTTGTTTTTCTGGTCATATTTTGTATATGTGTTCCAAAAGTCTTTTGAGTTTTTAGATTGGTTTAATTCATTTACCAGGTTATTTCAGTAACTCAAGTTGTCTTGTGTTCTTCATTTGCTTTATTAAAGATTTTTTCAGCAATTATAAGTCTCTGTTTGTTCTGTGGAGTATTTCTCATTCTATATTGTTTTTGGCAATCGTTGGGATGTTATTTAGCAGATGTAACATTACTATCCCACCAGCATGGTTTTGGTATTTTCTTGGCTTGATATCTTTGTATGGGATTAGCTCTTCTTTTGTTTTACTGATGCTATTTGTGAATGTTTGGTATATATTTTTTATGTTCCCGATGGTCATCTGTACAGACACTCAAATTTGTTGAGTCGCTTATATGGTCAGATCTTATGTTTTCATGCGTTAGTAAGTCACAGCTTATCAGATTTTGTTGGAATCTTGAATTCATCAGCATTAGATCTATTACTGAGTCAGAATTTCTTCTGTTTGGTTGGCCATCATTTACACAAATCATGTCTTGTTTTGTTAACATATTCTCTATCAGTTCACCTGCCTTGTAGTACTTGTTGTTTTTTCATTCTTGGCTTTTTGCGTTGAGTTCTCCTGTTATTACAATGGGTATATTGCTTTTTAAATCTTCTATTTGTGAGTATAGTATCTCTATCTGGTCATGTCTTTCTGGTGGTATGTAAAGACAAAGAAGTGAGAACGTTATACCTTTGTCTGTTGTTATGTTGATGGCCACTGATTCTTAATATTTCCTGTTGTATATGTCCGTTTCTATGTTCAATGGCTACAAACTTTGAGTTGTTTTCCCTTTACGCAAATTGCGACACCTCCTCCTTTCTTTCCTTTTCTTGGTTTATCAAAAACTTTCCAATTCAAACATTTTAACTACTTATGTACATTTTTAAAAGTTTCATTTAAACAAACAACATCAATTTCATATGTATTTACAATATTTTCAATGTCCTTATATGCTATGTTGACAAATTGGGCATTAATAAGGAGGATTTTCATCCTGATGATCTTCGGTTGTTTATTATACTCCTAAATACTTGTAGGTATTTGTGACACCTAGCCGATGTCGATGGATGGTCCTCACTGCAATTTACACACTTAGATGCAGCTGAGCACAGGCCATTGCTACACTCTTCGTTGCCACAGTTACTGCAGGTATGTGTGTATGAGCAGCTTCTTGCTATGTGCCTTATCTATTGCAGTTAAAGCACCTAGTCACCTTAGCTTTCCTGTTTGGCTCAAACTTTTCCCTATTGTCTGTATCTGGTACATAGAACCCTTGCGATTGCAGTGCTTTTTTGGTTAAGTCTAGATCTTGGAATGTTATTTTTACCACAGGTAGAGATTTATCGAGTCCATATACTTAAGCCTGTGAACCTAATTCACCCTGTAATCTTTATTCAGCCCTTTGTAGATAAAGCTTTCTTCTAAACTTGTAGGGATATTATATAGATATGCTGTTAAACTCTCTTATTGTTTAAAACGTGGTCTGTGAATGGTTTATTTACCACTTAGGTTGTCATTTGACCAGTTATCTAGATATAAGAAGATGTGGTATGAGTGCCAATGAGACAACTCTCGATCCAAGTCAAAATTTATAAAAGTAAACCAATATAGGTCAAAGTACGGTCTTCAACACGGAACCTTGGCTCACACCGAACAGCAAGCTATAAAGGGCCCCAAAAATTACTAGTGTAAAACCATATTTAAACCGGAAAACCAACGGTATAATCTATATAAAAAACGAGAAACGAGAAACACTTATGAACCACATAAACAAACGACAACTACTGAACATCAGATTCCTGACTTAGGACAGGTGCAAACAATTGCAGCGGGTTTTAATGGTACCAAACCTTCACCCTCATCTGAAGCAATAGTGAAACATCACAACATAGAAAGACACACTATAAAATATCAATTGAAATGGCTTAACTCAATCAAAATACATATTAACACCAGTGAACATACACTGAACTATGATACAATGTAAATACAAAATAAATAAACTAAAGGAATTTAGTATGTTTTATCTATCTTTCCTATCTTTTAGATGTACCGTTATTCCTCCATGCGGGAAGCTGTATGCAGATTTAAATTTAGTTATGAGTATGGGTATTTTATCTAACTCACTCTCGCCTAATTTTCCTACTGTCTCATGAAGTTGTTCTGTCTTCCAATATTATATTATCGATAATACGTATGGACTCTGTATCAATGCTTTTGCTTAAGAATGTTTTCTCTGGTATTGAACTCTTTATATCTTGTGCACTTTCTTTGGTCAATAGGGTTTTGGTTATTTCTACTATCTTGTCCATCTTATCAATTATAGATTTCTCTTTATTACTTTTACCTTCTTTCTTGTTTTCCTCTGACTTTTTGTTCAGTATCTCTGTTGCTTTACCAATCAATGGTGTGTGTGATATCACGCAGAATGGACATGGGAACTTTATCTTATCGTCCACGAGTCTCTGTGCGTCTTTGTTAGTCTATCTTGCACATGCACTATGTCGCCAGCATTTACATCGTCGGAGGACAGTCATATTACTTTTTTACTTTTGGATATTTAATTTTGGAGGATCTTCTTGTTTGCAGTCACAGCACCTGTCAGTTTTATCACTTAGCTGCTTACCTTTATTATCTTCTGTGTTAACTTTTTCTGTTGGTTCTTTTGTTGTTTCATTGGTTAAATCTATCAGTCTGTTAGACAAAGATCTTGAAATTTTTCTTTTGGAGGCATCAGGTTTTGGGCTATGATTTGGTATTTGTTTATATATAATATATCTATAGGTTTGTAGGTAATTTATGTACTATCTTTATTACATAACTTACACACAGGGTACTCATTTTATTTCCTTGCCATTGACTTATCTTGGCTGTCTTTTACTCTGGTCTTCTAGTTTATGTACTTAAGTTCCTCTTCTTCACTACAAATTGTAAGATTTTATTGTCGGGTATAGATACATAACACTTTTTGTATAAACCTAATAGAAGTTTTCTTATAGTCAAACTTAACAATTTCCCTGGGTGGACACCGTCTTTCTGATTGTAGGATATCTTAACAGACTCCCTTGACCGGTGTGCTTCTCTTCAACTTCTAAATTAATATGAGCTTGTTTTTACAGAGTTTGTACCAAACTTGTGATTTGAACATCATTTTTTTGTTCGAATATGTTATCTAGATATAAGAAGATGTGTTATGCGTGCCAATGAGACAACTCTCCATCAAAGTGACAATTTGTAAAAGTAAACCATTATAGGTCAAAGTACGGCTTCAACACAGAGCCTTGGCTCACACCGAACAGCAAGCTATAAAGGGCCCCAAAAATGACTAGTGTAAAACCATTCAAACAGGAAAACCAACGGTATAATCTATATAAAAAACGAGAAACGAGAAACACTTATGAACCACATCAACAAACGACAACCACTGAACATCAGGTTCCTGACTTAGGACAGGTGCAAACAAATGCAGCGGGTTTAAACGTTTTAATAGGGCCAACCTTCACCCAACCTGAAACAATAGTGTAACATCACAACATAGAAAGACGCACTATAAAATATCTGTTGAAATGGCTTAACTCAATCAAAAGACATATTAACAAAAACAAGTGAACATACACTGAACGAATAAATTTGATCTATGACACAATGTAAATACAAAATTAATAAAACAAGGGGGTTAGATGTAAAACAATATTAGAAAGACAACCATAACCTTGGACAAAATACAGCCAAAGAAAATAACGTACACAGGTAGATAAAAATAATTTTGTAGTAAGGTATATAATGGAGTACGGAAATACATTTTACAAAATAAATAATTTTGTAGTTCATAGTACGAGAACAGAAGTTAACTCTTTCTTCAATCAAATCAACTAATTGGTGAGTTCTTGGGCCTGATTTACACTAAAGTTCAAATGGGAATTCACTGTTAGGGCTATTGTTTCTGAGAGTAAACCCTTTACTATCTGATACCAGTATAGGTGTACGGTATTTTTCTTTATCACAAGGTTTGTGATGTTGGTCTCTTATATACTTGCATATTTTTGCAGTATTCATTTACTTTGATCTTAATCAGTTTACTGTCTGGTTTAAGTCGACTCTATAGACTACATATTCAACACATAGGACGATACATAAAAAAATAGAAAGAATACTCTTATCGTGTGTCTTCTTCTCGTTAACAAACCACTTTGAATTTCTGTCCTTAAATTCACACATTAATATTTCATTCGCGTTCCGAATGACCGGTATGTCTAATTACCAGATTACACACGTCCAACTTTATGTCAATAGGGTAACTCAAAAACTGTTGAACACTCAGATCTCTTTCCACTTATTGGATATCATCATAAGTCTTGTTATTTTGATGTTTTTTATCTCTATAAGTATGAGTCTTTCTATCTAAGATATTTGTGATGGTCAATTTCAAAGTCCCGCCATTTGTCAGACAAAAAATGGCCCTCGACGAACTTTCAAAGTTTCTTTATTTCACTTTCATGAATGAAATTTCAAACAAACAAAAAGACAGATGATAGAACAGCACCACATTATCAGTTTCTAGGTGGTATAAATTCTTTAAGATATTTCAAAATATATTTTTTGAGAAAATAAATTGTCCGGGCATATTTTCCGTCCTTCCGATCCCGACGCATGCGCCTTTTCCTTTCTTCGTTTTGATTAAAAGTAGGTAATTGAATCTCTTTTTATATAAATTATATACGGGAAAACTATGTATTGACTAAAGAAAAATTTAACTGTTTATTACACATATAGGTATCATATAATAATAATCTTTCAACCTTCTAGTCTATGACAATATTTTAACATTGATTAGATAACAGTAAAATAAATTGGAAATCTACCAAGTTCTTACATCACAGCTTTATTACTTGCTTTTCTATTAACACCAAGAATGTATTTCATAAATTTATTATGTGACCTTTCACTAGTATCCTGAGAAAAACATTTTCTTAAATCAATTCATTTCTTTTCTTACATGCAGCTGATTCAGTTGTAAACATTTCCCAAATTTTCACAACCATACAAAAGAATTGGTTTTATTGTATGAAAAAACAATCCTGATGTTTTAAAAATTTAATTCTTCTTCTGATTAATATCAATGCAACATATCAATTCTCTTTTGCAAACCATCATGCGTTTCTGAAAATATTACAACATCATCAGCATACATTAGACAATAAATTCCTCGATTATTATTGTGAACCCAATGATACTTTTCCACAGATTCACCTGCAAGTTACCTGTCGATTTAAACTTTTGTAAGTTCTTTTGTCCCATCTAATAAATACAATAGCTATTGTTCTCTGTGTAGTTTATTTGATGGGACCTTAAAATTTCTTCCAAGAGAAATCTATCACTCACTGATAAATTTTCCTGAACAAAAAATTGAACTGTCAATGAAAATACATGTGCAAATACTAAATAAGGACTCAAAAAACTGCATGTGGTGTTGTATTTATTCAATATCAATAATTCATTTTTAAAATATTCAATATAAACACTGATTCAATAATTAAAAGTTGATTTCTGAACAATTTTTTTATATTTTCCCTATTAAAATTTACTTTTTTTTGTGTGTTTGACAAATACAAACTTGAAAATTATTGTGTTTAAATTAAGGTCTTGATAAATGTATTCTATAACTGAACAACAATAAAAACATGCAAATTCATTGGAACAATACTAAAACTTTTGTCAGAAATAAACTTTTAATAATTAAATCAGTGTTTATATTGAACTGATTGAAACTATATTATTGATATTGATTAAATACAATATTGCATGCAGTTTATGCGAGTTTATACAACTATTTCCCAAAAGACGAAGATAATTTTTTGGTCAGGTAAATTAATAAATGAGTGATAGATTTCTCCTATAAGAAATTTAAAGGTCCCAGTGAAAAAACTACACAGAAAACAATAGCTATTGTATTTATTCAATAGGACAAGAGAATAGACAAAAGTTTAAATACCCTGGTCAAGAGCAGACGACTTTGTGGAAAACTTTCATTTGGTTCGCAATAATATCAAAAGGCTCAGGACATGATACGAACTTTTCTGGTAGATCATTTATAAATATTTTTAAAACATTCAGGCTTAAAACATCACCCTGTCTCACACCAATGCAAG